TCTTGTAATTTATTTACTTAACCAAAAAGGGAACATGATCTATTGTTTGTTTACTTTGTTGTTTACATGTTTTTGTGTCACCTAATTTGATCTGCCGAACTGAGACTTTGCCAATTCTCCAAATTTCTAGAAAAGTTTTAAAGAAAAAAGGCAAACTGTTCTTTTGTACTTTGTACTTGATTTAAAGAAAAAAGAGCTTCTATCAAACTTAATGTTATTTTTGGTCTACTTTTTTTTTCTTTAAGTTATTAGAATAGGTTTTCTAAGTTAATTTTTGCTTGCTGCTACTATTTTTGTCTTGTCTGTTTTTGGAAAAAGGAATCAGCGGAAAGAGTGATTCGTTGGCAGCACTCATATAATAACATGCCTTTAATAATAATAATTATGTAATTATTATAATTATTATTTTAGATTCTTAAAGAACAACCAAATATATTTACTAACAAAGAAGTATTTAAAATTGCATTTGATGAAAACGATAGTTTTTATTCTTTGTGTAAAAAAATTGCTTTAATTTTTGAACTGATCAAACGAGTAATCATTTTGCTTGAAAGTCATACAGCAACTTTGGCTAATTGTTTTACAGAAATTGTTTAAATAGCTATTGCTCTTAAGAAAATACCTACTAGTAATGATCTTCATGCTCTTGCTATTGCTGTATTCAATGCTCAATATAAACAATTCAATATTTCTTCATACCTTCTAACTTATTTCCTTTATCCCAACTACAGAAGTAATAGTTTAAAAAGAAAGTTCTATGATATTTGTGAATTGGCAGTTAGTTATTATAAAGATATGCATTATAGTGAAAAAGAATATCGTGAATTAGTAAGTCAATTAATAAACTACAAAGCAAAAGTTACACCCTGGGATATTGAGTTTTCTTCCAATTTAATGCCTACAACATGGTAGTAGTTGTTGAAAATAAATATAACCACTTGCAAGAACTAGCAAAAACCATGTTTGCAATTGTACCCTCTCAAGCTAGCTGTAAATGAAATTTTTCTATTTTGAAGTAGTTCAGTGAAGAATGTCGCACATGGCTTCAAGTTCCAAGATTAGAAAGTATAATGCAGATCTACTCCTTTTATGTATCAAACTTTAAAAAAAAATTAAAATTTTATGATAATAATTGTATGAAGACAGAATTATATAATAGTGTATTAAATAAAACGATCTTTGCAGAAATGGATAATGTTGAATTAAATAATGAAAATAAAGATGAATTAGAAATAGTAAATCTCATGGTAAATGATATTATAATGGCTCTTCAAAATTCAGTAGATCTATCAGATCCGGTATTTGGAACAAATAATAATCAAGAAGAAATTATATTGTTCAATAGAGAAAAAACAAATATAAAATTTAAGTATATGTCATTAGTTCAGGATGCATTAGGTGATAATGATTTGTATGAATAATATTATGTACATTCACCTTGTATTTTGAATTTATTCAAGTTTTTTTTTTTGCTTGAATAAAAATAATAAGAATCATTTTTTTTTATATCTTTAATTAAATGTAACTCAACATATTGGATGAGATAAAACCATTATATGCCTAATATACTTGACATAGGAACAATTTGGTAGATAATGACTAAATAGAATGTATTAAACAGAGCGATATGTTAGATAAATAGTTACATTAAATATGTATATCATTATATAATCTCCCTATCATTGACCAACCTTGATCACATATAATTATTGTAACTTTGTTTGAATTATGAATAAACTGTGCTGAAACTTTGCTGTAAGACTGTTAAAACTTGAATATAAAAAAACATTTTTAATAAGTTGGTATACTATAATCATGACAACAGGCTCAATTATAAAAGACAAACTTTTTACCTTCGATTAGATTAAGTAAAATTTGTATAAAATTTGTATAACCATCTATTAGATTAAATAAAGTTTGCATAACCATCGATCTGATTTGCATTTTTTATTTGGAATAAATTCCAAACCCAGTTTTTATATATTAAAAATTTGGAATTCTTAGTCGAAATATAAATTACATGTCAAAAGTGTTTGATATTATGAAAAATTAAAAGCATTTTATGAAACTTAGTAAATACTATTTGGGTTTCTACCTAATCCCAAACTAACAAGTTTGGGATGCAACTCCAGTGAAAGGTACCACCAATTAGACCATCAGATTGAGTCAGAGAAAAAGAATATCAGGCTGATCTGATATACCAATGGACTGATTGTAAGTCCTACTAGGCTATCTAGATTAGAAGTTTGATGAACTAGCAGGAATATACTAAAGTATTTCGAATATGCTGTGAAGTAGATGCTAAGATTTGTGTGAACTCTATAAGAGCATAGCAGTTTAATAGTTAGCCCTGACTGTAAGTGTTGGTTCTGCTATAGCAATACCTAGATCAGTTATAAAAATGAGTACAAAATGCTCTGGGGGGTTTATCTTGAAGATAAATTAGTCTTAAGGTTGAGATAATGATCTGAGCATTTGAGATAACTCAGTAATATTAATACAGGTTACAGGTTCAAAGGGTTTAAAGTGGAACATCCAAGCAGAGATGTTAGGTATAGCAATTGGTAGAGAACCTTTGGATAGACTTCTTAAATAGGTAATATAGAAAAGTTACATATGTAGCAATTGTACACAGGGGTGTGGCGACCTAGTGAAGTGGATAGGTTGTCAACCCCCAAGTGGCAGGTCTAGAGTTCAAATCTCAGTGACAGCA